TTGCATTGTTCAAGTTCTTCCCGTCGTACCAGAACCGGGCCGAGAGCGTGCGCCCGTGGACGGTCACCCGGCTAGACAAAGCCGTGCGTCCTCCTGCGAAAGAGTCAGTACCGCTCAAATAGCCAGCAGCGTATGCTCACCTCGCCGATCGGAGACGATTTGGAACACAGGTGGCATGATGTTGGCCTCCCGGCAGGCATCTATTCGCTGTTCAGACCCGGCGGCGCGGGACAGAGAAATCTCTCGTACCTTCAAGGCGCTCTTGCCAGGTTCCCGCCTGGCTGCTGTAGGAGGGGGCAGACATGGTATCAAAGGAAGGAGCGTTTACGATTCGATAAACTGCACATTACATCGTGAAGGCCGTACGCTCGAATACTAATACCAGTGACGGGCTCGTACAAAAGACAGCACCAAGGGATACGTCGGGGACCTACGGAGTGATGGCCTGCGCTTTCGGCGCGCGACCACACTCCGGTGAGCATGACGTCCCAGGACTTTCCTGGCGCGGCGGGGTCAGACGGCCCCACGCCGGTAGTGCGGAAGCCGGGCCAGCGCCGCGGCCGGAACCTGGTCCTTGCGTCTGGGTGAAGGGGCGTTACGCGAGGGCGATTGGGGCGTGTGCTACTTGCCCTCCATTCTCCGTCGTTCGCAGACAGCGCCAGGGTAGGGGCGTGCGCTGGTTAGCCCAGACGTGGCGGCCGCTGGCGTCCCCTGCATTACCGAGCATGGTGCATGTACACTATACAGACACCTGCTCCCTCGTGGGACGCCACGGGATGAACGGATCTGGATCCGTGTGCAGCACCCCAGTCGAAGGGCTGCAGCAAGCGGACGCTCTGACACGGCCGCATGGGCCTGTCTGCCACGTTCAATAAGGTTAGCGTGTACTTTGTAGTGGCTACCAGTCGTCTGATGATTGGGTCCACCAACAACGGCTACGCCTGTTTTGACTACAGTGAAGGCGAGTCAACGACGGCACTGACGATGGGTTATTGCGATGCGCAGCGACACCTCGACGTGCTGTCGTCCTGGCCGCTGGAGGAGAATCCCAGCTTCTACCAGAGGCGGCGCTTCCGTAACACAATTTTGCAGACTCAACGGTAACTCTGCTCGAAGGAGGCGATCAAGACACCTGCAGCTGAAGTGGGTTCAGGACTGTGACCAAACGCCCAGCGAGACCATTTACTGTAGCCGAGTCATTGCGCTACAGGGTGTATCTTTGCGAACCGCAGGTACCCGGACGAAGGGCCAACTTCTCAAGCGCAGCTGCCCTGTGGCGACGAGGCTGCAGCAGTCGACGTGGACATGCGTTCCATTGACCGCTATGCTTGAGTGCCCACACCGGTCAAGACGAGAAGCAACTGGCAGATCGTTTTTTTGTTTGCGCCTGGTATTTGAACAAGGGTATGAGTTCGTATTGGCGCATCCACCGACGGCCTGTGGCCGTTCACAGGGCCCATTGTGATTGGTCGCTCATTGATCACCATCCACGGAGGCTGAAGATCTAGCGGGGCGTGGGAACAAAGCCAATGCTTGCTCAGGAAGAAAGCCAGGCACGCCCCCTTTTACTGGCTAATGTACCCATGTTCGTGGTTGGCAGGCATTCGGACCGGGGAGGCGTGCCTGCACCCCTCCTCTTCGATTCACTGCGAGAGATCCTGTGGATGTGCTCTCTCCATCCTTGTCGCCGCATGATGCAGGGGCATGGGACATCCGACGCTGTCTCGCCAACAGAGTCCCGTCTGTGTACCTCCTCAAGTCGTGTGAAAGCCACCCCTCGGCCGTGTACCAGCGCGCTGGGGTCCCCATGCGGAGATATGAGCAACTTGGCTGGGCCTGCCTCGTCTGCATTGGGCAGTCAGGTCCGTGAGGGTGGGTATCTGGAGGTGTTCGTAAAATCATCCCTAGCCATCAAGGGCGAGCAGCCACTTCGAGTGTGAACAATAACTCCGGGAGGTAACGAATACCGGAATTGCATTGGGCGAAGATCTGCTGGCGTTCTACTGTGCAGCGCTGAGTGAACACCATGCGCGCGGCAGCCACGCAGTTCTGTTTACTGGCGGATTGCCAGTGGAGAGTTAACTTGGGCACCATTTTCAGAAGTCTCCCGGTCTGGCCAATGCAGTGAGTGGAGTCCTCATGATTTCTTTGCTACATTGATTTCTTCGACGCCAGTGTCGTGTCTACGGGCCCGGAGTGAAACATTTAAAGTACCGGAAAAATCTCCCACCACCCAAGTCGCCATAGCTTCATCCTCTCATCGCGTTTAAAGAAAGAACTTTCGGGTCCAAATTGTCAGAGACCATCCATTACTCGCACAACCGCCCGAAGGACGCATTCGACCCTCCTTAGCAGGGCATCCCTCCAGTTACAAAACGCAATGTTTGCCGACTTCAAAGCAACCCTCGACCGCGAAAAGGAGCCAGGTACGTCAGAGTGGCGTTGACGCTTCTCGATAGGAGGCTCACACCTGCAGATTTGTCGGGGCGTCCCAGTGGTATAGTAAAGCCAGAGAAAAATCTCCAAGTGAACGTCGGGGACAGTCTCAGTGGTTCTCAAGGACCTCGAGGCATCGTCCACGACAGTAACATGAATACGACGTACAGTACATCAGGCAGCCTACCGACGGTCAAGATCGAAGCCCAAAGCTTGCTACCTGCCGACCAGACTAAGTCTTCTCGAGTCGTAAAACGAAAGGAACGGACACCAGCGGCTTCATCGAGCCAATTGATGCCATCGAAGATTCAGAAGAAACCACATCTCAGCCCCCCAGCGAAACGTTGACACAGAAGCTGGGAAGTCAGATTAGGTATAGGCCATTTCCGGTCCGATTAGTTGATGACACTAACGGGGTATAGGGAGACACAGGACTTGCCATCAGGGCCCTCGCCACCTTGGTATCGCGAAATATCAGAGCTCAGATTGCGCGTAGTTGAATTGGAAGAGCTAGTTATTGCGATGGCGAAAAGCAACATTGAGTTGCTTGAACTCGCAGTACGGGTCTCAAATGAGAGCCACGGCCACACCAACGATGTTTCTAAGATATCGATATCTCACAGACGCGAAGGATCTCCCGATTGCTTCAGTTCTTGACCGACTTGGGGCCGTCTTCTCTCGAGTGCACTCTTCAAGAGCTCCGAAAGCGGGCGTCAATTCAATGTCGGCCAACCCCTCCAATCATGCATAACGAGATATCAAGGCTGTCTTTTGAACACATCGTTGTTGTTGCCGAATACACGATAAGCTCTCAGTACATGTTTTCGTTCGTTCATAAGCTTTGCCGTCTCAACCGCTTCCGCATTCACGGCTACTTTCATGAACACATATCCTCGATCCCAAAACACTTCTTCGCCAGACCCATCAAAGAATCAGAGGGCTTGCGTCCTCTTGAATCAGTTTCAGTCTATCAGTAGACCACTTTTCTCTTTGAACCATGCAGAAACTTCATCCACAGCAGCCTGCGGATCACGCCTCCTCCGTACCAGATACCCCTGCAACTCTGCCTGAGAGACCACGCCCTCGGAAATGTTCTCTGCAAATTCTGCTGCGAAGTCACGACTCGTGTCGGCGGTCTTGGTATTTGCGGACTCTTCTGTGATGGAAGAGCCTGTGAGGATCAAGGAACGAAAGAGTTGTCTCGCGGTTTCCTGGTTCGCCAACGCAAACGCGACCTCCATATCCACTCTCCCGGGTCTGGTGATAGCGGGGTCAAGTTCGCTGCGATGGTTGGTCGACATGATCAAAACACGTCCGTGTCGGGCCCCAGCGCCATCGAGTATGTTAAGAAGGCCCGAGCGTGTGAGGTCGGTGACCTGTTGCGTTTGTTGTGGTTCCTGACGTCGCTCAGGGGGCTGCGGGCGTTTGTGTGTACTCTGAGGAGTCTCGATATCCTCAAGCAGTACAATGCATCTCATCGGAAGCAGTCGAAACAGCTTACCAAGAGACTTGTCGTCTACCGCACCAACGCTTATGATATAGATATCAAGTTGAAACTCAGTGGCCAAGGCCACGCAGAAAGATGTCTTCCCAGTCCCTGGGGGCCCATGGAACAGATACCCGCGACGAAACGGAATACTTCGCTCAGAGTAGTACTTGAACTGAGTCGGCTCCAGGAAGTCTTTCAAGTCCTTCACTACGGCCAGTTTCTGCTCTTGATCCATGGCAATGGTAGACATATCGCGTGACTGCGATGTGACCAACTCCCACTTGGGCTCCTGATCGCCCGAAGCTTCGTATATCGCTACCTTGCCAGGCTTTGGTTCGAAGTAGTCTGCTTTGATCGACCGCAAAAGTTCTTTGATGGCAGTCGGATCTCGGCCGAAACTTTTGATCGTAATCGTTTCTCTTCGCCCTCCCGGCATTGTTCGCATGATTTGCCGATTTACCCAGAAGAATTTGCCCCTCAAGGAGAAATAGCATCTGCCGGGACTTGGGGTGAAGAACAGTGGCTTGTCGGCAGGTCCCTCGATATCTCCCATTCGTAAATGGCTCAGCCATGGAGCCTCGTCCAAGCCCACTATTTGGTGTCTCCTCGAGAGCCCTTTGCAAGTGCTTGTCCATCGCAGTACCGCCGGGTAAAAAGAGTCGTCATTGCTAACCGACTGGGAAACAACGACCGCATTCCATATGAAGTCAGCTAGTATTGCCACTGCTTGTTTGAAGATGGCAGTTGCATGACTACTTAAAGTCTGAACTAAGAGCAATGTCAGGAATTGGTAGGAGTCATGCTCTGACGCCATGATGAATATATTGAGTCATTTCACACCAGCACGAGACACGAGTGCGAGGAGAAGCGTGGACTTTCTATAGTGCTCTGCTATTGCAGAGCCTCCCATCTATGACCGGAAACAGAAACTAGCATCACCTCAGCCCATGCTAGAGATTCTACAGCCCGGCCTGAGTCGCTTTGTGTTTGCCGCGCCGCAAGTCAGGCTCGGCATGCCTGAGACAGCTTGATTTCCTGCTACCGAGGGGCTTCTCTCAGACTCCAATGGCCTGCGAGTGGACTATGCGAGGTGATAATGCGAGACCACGTCCATAATCTCATGTATATGCTGTAATACGAACGCTATCCTGGTTGCTTCTATATCAAGCTTATGCGGATCATTTTGCACAGGAAATCTTGGGTATCTCGCGCGACGGGATGAGCTGGCCTGTTGCCTGATATGCGTTCGCAGTCTGTAATCAGTTGCCTGGGTGCCTGACACAAGGCTATTGTGGCAGCTAGGCCGAGATACTCTTGAACGCAAGGTAACGATCTGTCATATCTTTATAAACGTGCTATTAGCGATAGTACAGACCCCTATTCATCCCGGCGGCCCTTTCAGACGTTCATTGTTCTCTGAAACTCGCGTTTGGCTCGTCACCGTCAGGTAGAGTACGTATTTACTCTATGACGCTGTGGTAGAAGCGAAAAGTTTGCAGCATTACGCAAAAGCCAAGCCATAGCACCGCTTACGGTACATCCTAAAAGTCTTTCGAACATCTCTACAAAATATGATTATGAGCTAGACGGACAAAGAATTTAGGCTAGAACCCATGGAGGAGTGACAGAGCGATGCTTGTCATGAGCAACATGATCAGCTCTTCTCTTTCGCATTAGTAGGGAAATTGCAGAGGGGCTCGGAAGATCCCCATGTCGACCGGAATGCAACGGGGTCCCTTCAGTCTAGGCCACGAATTTTGCAGGATTGTGCAAGTCCAGTACCTTGGCGGGCCAGCTGTGAGCCAGCGACGGGCAAACGCCTCTACATCATCCAGAGGCAGCAAACCACGCACGCTCGACGAAGTCTTCTGCACAGTTGACCAGATCCGGAAGCTTAGCTTAATACTTCGGCTATGTGAGGAAATCATGAGCTGAGCCTAATTCCTCCTCATTGGTGAACGTCTTGATGCACGCCGCGTTCTTCTGATCTGGAGCATATGGTGACGCATGACGCAAGGATGATTACTCAACCCTTTCCAAATCATAGTATTCGTTATTTATCTGTTCTTAATTCCAGTCGCTCTCTTATAATTCTTAGACTTTGGATACATCTGCACCTTTGGCGTTGAATAGCATCAGTATGTAATCGGCTAGCTGGACAGAGAAGTTGGTCGTTGGTTGATGAGCTTTTGTTGTCCAAGTATTGGCCTCCGGCAGTGTTACTTTGCCGCTTTCCTGTGCCTCTCCCTGACGCGCCAGCTGCGAAGCGCGTCGAAAACCCATGATAGTGAACTACCAAAAACTGCTCGCACATCCTTCGCTTTGCTGTCTTATTTCGTTGTTGCGAACTTGTGTTGAAACTCGTATGGTGCGGATCAATCTAGTATCAAGCCTTTAACCGTGATGAATTGACTTTCTCTGTCAGATCGTCCTTCTACTTGTTGGTATCCTCATAGATTAGCCGTGAAGAGCACGCCGAAGTGCGATATTTTGTCCGCGCTTCGCCATGGTTTGGTCGAAATCGGCTTTGGGTATCGTAATATTTTCATCCGTCTCAATTACCACCACTGTGTCGAAAATCTTGATATAAACCGATATACGCTCATGGTTCTCTTCAGCAATTTGTGAGTATTTTCGGCCGTAAATCGCCAATTCCGTCTCGGACATTCGTCGGTATTCTCTCCAGGTAGACATAATGAGATGGACTGTATTGCTTTGAGCCTTTGCTGCATTGCGAACCATGCGATCAACAAGCCTTCTTAAGGCTGCCTTATTATACTTCGAGTGGATGCCATTCGGAAGCCGAGCGACCAGACAGCGGGGTTCATTCGCAGAAGAAGCACGCGTAATCAGGTCATGATTCGAATCGGTCGCTTTGGATGATCCAGTAGTATCTCCCTTGCCGAGTTGGTCCAACCTTGTGACGTCCTCATTGGGCTTACGGTGGCAATTGCATCGAATTATGCTTCGTTTCTGGTAATGTCGGCCTGTGATTATCCTAGCGACCCCTGGGAGTGAACGTACGTCAACCACACCTGGATAAGAAGCTTGCACGCTTGTTAGTAATGTAGACGCACGTTGGAGCCGTGACAGGCAGTGAGATACCATGAGCCAGGGTAGGGTAGCATCGCACGCGCCCCACATTTGAGGAAACTACCAATAGACAGACAGAATCTACTTCTCCCCCTTGGAGGGGTAGCACACGCCCCACATTCAGGAAGGTCACCAATTGCTGATGAGGAAGTGGGTATTTTTTCGTGTGCCTGCCCCTCATCTGAGGAAAGGGCCAATAGCTGCGTGATGGAAGCGCCTGCCAAAAGGCTGAGCGTTTAACGTCTGATCCGAATTGCCAGTGATCACCTCGCGAGTTGGCGTACCAACTCCCATAAGACTAACAACATCTGCTCGACTATGGCGCCAGAAAGCTCCCCGTCTTTGCGATTCTCTGATTTTCCCGACGTTAAAACCTTCGAAGCAGACGATCCCCGTCGAAAACGAAGGAAAACATCAACAGAGACTATGGCGAAGCTTGTCAGCAACTTCAATGGCCAACAAGTCACTGACGCCATGTTGAAGGACGCTGCAAAACTTTTCAGCGAGAACTACGGCGTCTGGGGCAATGAAGGACCTGGGAGTCCTGGTAATCACTCTCCTACCCTTGATCTGTCAATATCTTGCTAAAATGTCATAAGGGAGTCGTGTCAAGATGAGCGCAGACCGCCTACGGGTGCAATGTCTTCCCGAGGGATCGAACAACACATATGTCACCATCCATATCGATGGCGTTCTAGCAGGAAATGCTTTCGCTTGCCGCTGGGAGCATGCGAATCGTCGAGTATGCTGGATCACCCAACTGGTGGTCCACAGCAATTACCGAGAACAGAGGCTCGCAACTACTCTTCTCTTGAACTTGATCGATGACGACGATGATGTGCTCGGGATTATGAGTTCCCATCCAGCAGCGTGTAAAGCCCTCGCGAAGGCAATCGGAGGTATGGACCAGACTCCTCTGGCGAACTTGTTGCTGACTAGTTATGAAGATATCAGATTTTCCGACGTTTCGATGGACTATGCTCGGGACCATGCCGCTGATGTGCTAAAGGCGTCGCCGATTGTTTATGTTCGCGAGGCGCAGCTCTGCGGGCGGCTTTTTAACTCCGACGATGCTAGCGGAATGGTGTCGGGCGTGAATTCTAAGTTCTATGTTGATCACGCTGAACCCCTCGAGGCTCTTGCCTGGTTCCAGGAAGATGGAAACTGGCCTCTTGGTGAATTGCCTGATGGGCACGAATTTTTGTTCCTAGTGGAAAAGCCACGACGGAGACGCTCACGATCTGCTTCGGCACGACGTGGGTATGCAGCAACCGGTGAGGACGAGGCATCCTTAGCTACATCCTGAATAGCTGGGTGTTCCCAGGCCGCCTCACAAATTTGCATTACGTAATTTACACTGGATTTCATCGAAAACATACGTGCCAACTCCGGGTAATAAATACTCAGGTCTTCTTCTGTTGAGAACCTTCCCTGCACATGCGTACATATTCTGTGCTCCATTCAACTCCCCTGAGCAGTAGCTGAGCCAGCTGAGGTGCAAATAAATGATGGCACAAGTGAACACTTCTTCCTCAGATGGGTTGTACTCTGCGTTGAGACGCAGAGCATTCCTCCACTGAGGCTCAGCTTGGCCATCAGGGTACGTGCGAGCTAACGCGATGTATGAACGAACGTGTCCAAGTCGGTCGACGACATCGAAAGAGTCCATGCCACCATAGAGAATTAATAGTTCCTCCAATGATTTCCTTGCCTCATGAAGTCGACCTTCCCGAAGGTTGATCTCCGACAAAGACAAGAGGAGGCGCCGGCGGCTCTTTGAGTTAGCTACTCCAACTGATTCGAGGGCAGGCTCGAGCAATGACCTGGCTTGAAACAGGTGATAGCGTTGATCATCCTGAGATTTGTAGTCTAACTCGCAATAAAGGTCTGCCAGCGCTGTCTGAATAATGATCTTTTTGGACTTCCGCATACCATAGGTTTTGAAACATTGCTCAAAGCAGATTCTGGCACTTTCGAAGTCGCCTTGGCCCCTCATAACGCGACCAACACAGTAAATCTGATCCCAAATCAATTGAACTTGGTCGCCTTGGAGATCCTTTGTGACTTGGATTTCTCGCACGATCTGGGCAGCGTCTGTGTACTTCAGTTGGTAGATAAGGTTGTTTGCTAGGGACAGTTGAAGAGGTATGAGAAGGTGGCCTGGTAAATTAGGTGACCGCCGAATAAACGTATGCAACTCCTGCTCGGAGCTCTGGGGATCACCAAGAAGTCGTAGGACTATGCTGCGTCGATGCACGACAGATGCCCACGTCGAGACTGGTACCAAGTCCGTGAGCATATCTGCAGCGGTGTCGAGAAGTTGCATACTGTCGTCAAGGGAGCCAGATTTGGAAATGGTCACCAGAGCCTCGATCGTGTGGATTGAACAGGGTATCGTGCGTTCAAAATCTTTACAGAGTCGAGCAATTTGGCGAAGAACAACACAGAAAGTAATACATTGGGGCCCATGGCTACGAAGTTAGTTCTTTGAAAGAGAACGGCAGGGTCTTGAACGCACAGCAAAGCTGACACTTGTTCCTTTGGCCAGGCAGTTGATTCCCTGCGACAAAGACCGTGATCTTGTTTTAGACCTAGGTCAATCGAGGCTTGTGTAGCCCCTAAGCCCGTTTGGAGTTTTCCCAAATCTTCAAAGTCAGGGATGGTAAAATTGAGATTGCGAGAGATTTTTGAACTCACCACTGCGGAACCTCCGGTATGAAACATCATCGATAGCATGGATTGGAGCCGCAAGTGATGTATGGATAAGTTGGGAAGGCAGCTTGGATGCAACTACTGCCGGACTCCCCAGGAAGCTGCTGCAGTGTGCAAGGAGTATGTTGAAACGGCCCTTTGAGAAGCCAAGTATCGAATTTTTCGTATAAGTTGCGGCGCAGAGAACAAGACTTATACCGTTCAAAGCCCGGAGCTTAAGCTTGCGGTTCGTTGCCTCCTGATCATGATCATGGCTTTGCTCGAAAACGAAGCGCAAAAAGTTATTTCTTGACTTTTGTGGGCGGGGATTGTGAAGCGCTGAGCTAAAGTCGCGGGCCATCTCCACCATATCCAAAAATTGAACCCCCAGTTCGTGAGCCTCATTGCATAGTTCCGGTTGGTGAAATACGTCTGCCTGAAGCCCATTCAGGCGGAGGGTGAGGGTGATGGAAAGAGTCATGGTGATTGAGTTGGTGCTGGACGGCGAAGTTGTCGCAAGGCACTCCAAGAGGGAAGGCTCTATTCGTCACACTGCCGCAAATTGTGGACCTAGAGGAGACTCAATCATGTCACATGTTTTGTCAAGATATTGTTGCCTGAGGATGGACATTAGGTCAAGAAATTATGTAATAGTCTTGAACGCACTTGACCATTTCGGCTGCATGGCATTTCCGTAGGTTTGCAGGGATCACAACACTTTATGCACTTTCCAATCCGGTATCAACCTATCACTATCGTCCACCCGCCGACTAAAACTCAATGCTGTATTGTCAAGTACAGTGTCGAAACCTTCTACCGCGGTGAGCTATCGATCTCGCGTTGGGCGAATACGCCGTGATTCGCTGCCTACGTCCTGTGGGTTATGTTGTTAAAACCCCTCCTCGCATTCAATAGTCCTTGGCGCTTTCCTGGCGTAATGTGTGCGCCGCGCGGGGCTAGGGCTGTGTGCGGTGTGGGCCCGCGTCCTCTCGTCTTGTGATAAGCGGTATCAGACGGTGGTTGGGGCAGCGCCACCCCTAAGACTGCGGTACACTGTGGACTCATAGGCGTTCCAACTACAAAGGTTCGGAACAGCCGCAAAAACTTACTCGACACGTTGCCTTTTGCCTTCCGTTAGGAAGGTTAACTTCTCCATCCGCGAGGGGGGGAAAAAGTCCCTATGCCTTGATTCACCCCTGTCGCGCGCTCTATGATTGGTGCGTAAGAAATCGATCGTCATTGGCTGTAGATAATCTACAACCAATCGTGATGCTTTTTCAGTCAGCTGGCCAATCAGCTTCCATCTACCTGTGCTATGACCAATCAGCGCTAGGATCTGTCGCGACACGGATCCGACTACTGGCTCGAAGCGGTCCGGGGAGATTGAAGTCCTTGACGACAGCGACGATGGCGCCAGCCCGACCAAGCGGCCCAAACGGGGGAGTTTACGCGGGAGGAAGTAGGCTTTTTTGCCTTGATTAGCGAATTACTACAGCTAAGCTCTTCATGTACACATCATTTCGTCTCTTATACTTCTCGTCCATGTTCGTTTCAATCCTCACGGCAAACTGTTGTCAAATATCATCCCGCATTGTCAACGAACACTCGCTGCATTCTGTTTCTCCACTTGTGCTATTTGAAGTAGCCACATCAAGAGCCGCCATGCTTCGTATCACAAGATGTCCAGCTTGCAAGCTATCCTCTGACGACACCGAAGACCTGGGTCCGAATCACGACGGAACCGATTTTTGCTTTTCCTATTTTTCTCTTCTTGGTTGGGCGACTCTACCGCCGGCGTGATACGACTATGTATACGTATGACTCCGTCACTCCTCCAGACATATGGCCGCCCATTCGTTCGCCAAACTCACCATGGCTGCGTCAGAAATCGTAACGTTCTTCCTAACGGAAGGTCTTCCAACAGGCGGCTTGCCCGGCGTTCCCCAGTGGATTCAAGATGACGCCCTTACGCCGTAGGTTTCCCGGTCCTCAGTGATAGAACGACTGTCCCAAGACTACTTCTTAGTATTTTTGACCGCACCTAGGTCGCCCTGCCCCCTCGATTCCCGATCACGCCGCCGTGCCGAGCTCGAAAAGCCTTGTTTCACTGCAAGAACGCAAGTCCCAATCTTTGGTGGGGTGGCGCACCTGAGCCACATGGAGGGGGTGGCGTTGAGTACTAGCCAATGAACG